CTCCTGCCTCAGCCTCTTGAATAGCTGGAATTACAGCCACGTACCACCACGCCCAGCTAATTTTTGATTTTTAGAAAAGATGGGATTTTGCCATCTTGGCAAGGCTGGTCTCGAACTCCTGACCTCAAATGATTCACCCACCTAGGCCTCACAAAGTGCTGGGATTACAGGACTGAGCCACCAGGCCCGGCCTTAAAATTTAATTTTTAACTTCAAAATCCAAAGTTTAAAATTAACAATAATCACCAGGCAAAGCTACAACATTTGCACTGTTCATTAAAACATCGTATGTGACCTGGTGCAGTGGCTCATATAATCCCAGCACTTTGGGAGGCCGAGGTGGCAGAATCACTCGAGCTCCGGAGGCCAGCCTGGGCAACATAGGAAGAGCCCATCTTTACAAAAAACAAATTAGACAGGTGTGGTGGCATATCCCTGTGGTCCCAGCTACTCAGGAGGCTGAGGTGGGAGGATCACTTGAGCCCAGGAGGTTGAGATCATGGTCATAGTATTATACTCCAGACTGGCAACAGAGACCCTGTTTAAAAAAAAAACAAAAACAAAAACAAGTCACTATGTAATGGGCACTGCACAGGTTACTATCTCTGAATACAACAAATCGGGTTGGCAGAATAGCAACTTCTGCATCTTTCAGAATACACTGTAGTTCAAGTAAAATGAAATATGATCTTACCAGATTTATTTTTTTCCAAGATAAAGTTTCCCAGGATTTCAACTATACTGTAAGAGAGATATTCTCTCAATGTTTAATATATTTTATAGACAGAAACAGTAAAATTGCTAAAAACAAATTCAAGCACTACATTTGTTAGAATTTTAATCATAACCAAAAGTTCAGCTAAATACAAATTCACTTGTATCACAATCAGTACATCATCTGCTGTCTCAATAACTGCCTCCTACAATTACTTTTTATCCAATTGTTACATTCCTTATGTAAAGCAGAAATGGTCCTGCCCATTAGTGACACTGCAGACAAGTAAGTATAAAGATCAAAATTCTAGAACCCCATAACAAACTCCATACTTAAGAAAGGCTGGGTGTGGCAGCTCCTGTCTGTAAATCCCAGTGCTTTGAGAGGCCAACACAGATGGGGAGGGGTAGTCAGGGTAGAGATTTGCTGAAGCCTGAGAGTTTGAGACCAGCCTGGGCAACACAGAAAAACCCAGTTCTATCCAAAAAAAAAAAAAAAAAAAAAAATCAGCTAGGCACAGTGGCTCACACCTATAGACCCAGCTTCTTGGGAGGCTGAGGCAGGAATCATTTGAGCCTAGGAGACAGAGGTGGCAGTGAGCTATGATGGCACCAATGCACTCCAGCCTGGGTGACAGAGAAAGACCTTGTCTCAAAAAAAAAAAAAGAAAGAAAAAGAAAAAAAAGCCTAAGCAAAGCCATGTGTGGAAACAATGTAACTATATTATTTTGATAAACTAGTTTTTAATACTAATTATTCAAATACAGTGAATACTGATGTGTAATGCAAAAATCAGGGCAGGTAGGTTGATGGATGTAGATGTTTACATGAGGCTAGCATGCAAGACATGTATCTGCTAAGAGATTTGTTCTAGAATACATAACTTTCACAAATCAATAATAAAGACAAATAACCAATTAACAGATAGACAAATAATCTGAATGGACATTTTTCCAAAGAAGATATACTACAAATGCTCAATGAACACATGAAAAGATGTTTGATATCATTAGTCATGAGGGAAATGCAAACCAAAACCACAAAAGGATACCACTTTACACCCAGTAGACTATAATCAAAAAGTCAGATCATACCAAGGGTTTGCAAAGAAAATGAAGAGATTAGAATCATCTTATACTGCTGGCAAGAATGTAAAATGGTACAGCCACTTTGGATAATAGTCTGGCAATTTCTCAAAATGTTAAACATAAAGTTACTATGTGACTCTGCAACTGAACTCCTAGGTACATACCCAAGAAAAATGAAAACACATGTTCATACAAGAAATTGTATATTAATATACATATGAGCATCATTATAGCCAAAAAGTGGAAATGACAAAAATGTCCATGAACAGATAAACAAAATGTGGTGTATTTATGCAGTGGAGTATTACTCAGCAATAAAAAGAATAAAGTCTGGATACAGGCAACAGCATTGAAGAACCTTGTAAACACTTTCCTAAGTGAAAAAAGCCAGACACAAAAGACCACCTATTACATGAATGTGTTTATATGAAACCCCTGGAATAGGGAAATCTGTAGAGAGAAACATTAGCAAGATGCTAAGGACTAAGTGGGGGTGGGGTGATGGGGGCAGGGGCAGAAAGGGGAAAGAACAGGAGAGCGATATCTGAAGGGTGCAGAATGTGAGGTGATGAAAATATTCTAAAATTAACTGTTGGTATGTATTTGTGAATATACTAAAAACCAATGAACTGTATACTTTAAATGGGTGAACAATACGATATATAAATTCTATCTTAAAGCAGGTTAAGACAGCCTTATTTTTAGGAATGAGGCTGGAAACAATATATACAACCCCAACAAAAGATAAATTAGTCTTTTCCAGTAAGAATGGCCATAAATTGATCTTTATAAAACACCTGGTAGGAGCTGGGCTAGGTGGCTAATACCTGCAATCCCAGCACTTTGGGAGGTAGAGGCAGGCAGCTTACTTGAGCCCAAGAGTTCAAGACCAGCCTGAGCAACATGGCAAAACCCCGTCTCTACAAAAAAATACAAAAATTAGCTGGGCGTGGTGATGCGTGCCTGTGGTTCCACCTACTCAGGAGGTTGAGGTGGGAGGATCACTTGAGCTTCAGAGGCAAAGGCTGTAGTGAGCCAAGATCACACCACTGCACTCCAGCCTGGGTGACAGAGTGAGACCCTGTCTCAAAACAAAAGGAAACAACAAAACCTACCTGGTAGGTACTAAAAATCAGCTTCCAGAACACAGCAGAATTGTATCACCCCATTTATGTAAACAGCCACATGCACATAGCCAAAAAGTAAAGCATATTCAGAAACTTCTACACTTAATCACTTACTAAGTGGAAAGTTTCATTTTGATTTGTTTGGCTTTTTCTAAAAATCATCTATCTTCTTTATGAAAATGAAAGCAACTTTTATGTTCATGTTGGTGTTACTTACATACTAACTTATCTACTCTTATTTTCAAACTCCAGGTGTATTGCAAAAAGGACTCAGAATCGGACCTGAAAGCATTCTCCCTAGCTAACTATGAAACAATTTGACTATCAATAAAGGTAAAACAACTGGATCAAGGCCGGGCATGGTGGCTCACGCCTGTAATCCCAGCACTTTGGGAGGCCGAGGCAGATGGATCACCTGAGGTCAGGAGTTCAAGACCAGCCTGGCCAACATGAAGGAACCCTGTCTCTACTAAAAATATAAAATTAGCCAGGAGTGGTGCCGCATGCTTGTAATCTCAGCTACTCGGGAGGCAGACGCAGGAGAATAGCTTGAACCCGGGAGGTGGAGGTTGCAGTGAGCCCAGATTGCATTACTGCACTCCAGCCTGGGTGATGACAGAGCAGGACTCTGTATCCAAAAAAAAAAGAACTGTATCAAAACACAAAGTGTTCACATTATAAATCCAAGTACTTAACGGTAAGTGTGTTAGTTACCACTAGAGAAGTAGCAATACACACAGCAACAATTCAGGATGCTTCCACTCATTATACCATACACACACACACACACACACACACACACACACACACACACACAATATATATATATATATATATTTTTTTTTGAGAAAGCGTCTTGCTCTGTTGGCCAGGCTGGAGTGCAGTGGTGTGACCCTGGCTCACTGTAACCTCCGCCTCCTGGGTTAAGTGATTTTCCTGCCTCAGTCTCCAGAGTAGCTGTGACTATAGGGGCATGCGACCACAACCAGCTAATTTTTTTGTATTTTTAGTAGAGACAGGTTTCACCATGTTGGCCAGGCTGTTCTCAAACTCCTGAGCTCAGGTGATCTGCCCGCCTCGGCCTCCCAAAGTACTAGGATTACAGTTGTGAGCCACCTCTCCCAGCACACTCATGATTTTCTGACTTTACAATGGTATGAAAGCAATACATAGAATCATTCTGCTTTTCATTTTCAATACAATATATAATAAATTATATGAGACTTTATTATAATATAGGCTTTGTGTTAGATGATTTTGCCCACCTGTAGGCTACTGATAGTATCTGAGCACATTTAAGGTATACTAGGCTAAACTATGATATCCTGTAGGTTGGGTATATTAAACGAATTTTCAACTTACAATATTTTCAACTTATAATGGGATTATCCGGACCATAACTCCATTATAAGTTAATGAGCATCTATAAAATCTAACACTGTCTTTCTTACAGAAAATAAATCTCTGCAGTAACCAAATAGAGTATCTAAGAGTTTCTCTTTATACAAGTGTTTCAATTAATAAATGCAAGAATAATCGAATTGGAAAATGATCTTTTTGCCTTCCTTTATGAAGTAACAGAGCTCTCAAATCTATGCTGCTAACATTACAGAAAGAGAAATCCAAGTGTGTACTTCCTGATAGAAGTCTGTACTACCATCTATGAAGTATTCTTGTTTAAAGAGAAAAAGGGGAGGTGGGAGGGAAGGAGAAAAAAAGTGAATCTGAATACAACCACATCTGTTGGGGTTCTCAATCTTGGCAGCACAGTAGAATCACATGGGGAGCGTAAAATATTGATGCCTGGATCCTAATACTAGAAGTTCAAATTAGTATGAGACATAGCCTGGACATTAGTTAGAATTTTTACAATTTAAGGTTGAGATCACTGCTCTAAATCTAACCACCAACTTACAAGAGTCCAGAAACCTGAGGAACTTGTACTGTACTTCAAGGATGAAGTCAGCCAACCTAAACGTGACAGGATAAATGAGTTTCTTCAACAAATGGGGCCTGGGGGAAAATGGGAACCTCAAGTTTAGGGACTTAAATCAACAAACTGGAAGATCCGTCACCTTTCAAGGACCCAGAAGTAGGGTTTTGGTCTAGGTAACCGGGCAGAGATGTGGTTCGAGATACTCCCCGGACTCGCCGCCATGGGCGTGGGCTTGCTTATTCCAGGACTGTCTACTGAGTACATCCACAAGTTCACTAACGGCGGCAAGGAAAAAAAGGTTGCTCATGTTTTGTATCCATGGAATTTGATGGAAAGAGATAGGCGCATCTCTGGAGTTTTATCTTTATTATAAATCAAAGGGTTTGGAGAACATTGATTAAAGAAGCATTTTCCTGATTGATGAATAACTCAGTTATGGTCATCTACCCCTGCTAGAAGATTATACAGTATATTATGTAGCATGCAGTGTGTTATGTAGTGCTTAATAAAAATAAAGCGAAAAAAAAAATTTTTTTTTAAACTGCACAATATAAACCTCATTTGGATTCCCCCCTCCACCGCCTGCCCTTCTTTTTTTTTTTTTTTTTTTTATTCTGGAAAGAGAGACAGGGTCTCACTACATTGCCCATGGCTGGTCTCAAATGCCTGGGCTGAAGCAATCACCCAGCCTCAGCTTCCCCAAGTCCTGGGATTACAGGCAGGAGCCACCATGCCCAGCCTATTTGGATCCTAATACCATTTTTCAGATGTGAAGTAACTAAGATATTTGAACAGACTTCATGGTTTGTGAGAATGTTTTACATGTGATGATACTGATTTTTTAAAAACTATCTTTTAGCGATACATGCTAAAATAATTACTAATGAAATTACTTATCTAAGATTTGTTTCAAATTATCTGTTAGAGAGATGTGGGACAAATACAGAGAAAATGAGATTGGCCTTAAGCTGATAACTGAAGTTAGGGGATAGGTACATGGGGAGATTTATTATACTATTCTCCTTACATTTGTAAATGCTTCAAACTATTCATTTTATAAAGCTTTTAAAATGTGAAACATTGACCGGGCATGCTGGCTCACGCCTCTAATCCCAGCACTTTGGGAGGCCGAGGTGGATGGAGTCCCTGAGCCATTCTCCAATAAAGGGGACCAAAGCTCCTTAGATAATAGCTATTTCAAGGACTGAAGCAGGAATTCTACAAGATAATCCTCAAGTATCTTGTAGCGCCATTAAGTACATATGCAAAAAAAAAAAAACCAATCCCAACCAACCAACAAAAGACCACTACACACAGAAACACACAATGATGGAGTTACCAAAGAGACACAGGAGCTTCCAACAGCCAAAGCTAGAACATCAGAACAGAAAAATAGGGGAAATAGTATTAGACTACAGCCAAGAGTATAAAACAAATATCCACAAGCCAAATGACTGAATAAATAGGGAAGACTGAACAGCTCTCCATGGAGAGAAATTCCAAATAATTTATGTAGACAGTCCACCCTCAAGGAGATAGAGCATAATTTTCCACTCCTTAAGTGTGGGCTGTGCACAGTATTGGCAGGGAGGGGTGGTGGAGCAACATATACTATTTCATCCAGGTGATCAAGGTTAACGTCAGTAGGCCAAATGTGGTGGTTCATGCCTATACTTCCAGCTGTTTGGGAGGCCAAGGCAGGTAGATCACTTGAGATTAGGAGTTCGAGACCAGCCTGACCAATATGGCGAAATCCTGTCTCTACTAAAAATACAAAAATTAGACTAGCATGGTGGTGGGCACCTGTAATTGCAGTTACTGGGGAGGCTAAGGCAAGAGAATTGCTTGAATCCAGGAGGCGAAGGTTGCAGTGAGCTGAGATTGTGCCACTGCATTCTACCCTGGGCAGCAAAGCAAGACTCCATCTCAAAAAAACAAAAAAAAAAGAAAGGTTAACATCAGTGGTAAATCATGATGATTGCACATATCCTTGATATAATGAAAACAACATTTTATCTGAAGCCTTCCTCCTTAAAAATCAATAAATCCAGTCTAATAATGGGGAAAACTTCACACAGGTTCCAACCGAGGGTCATTCTACAAAATACCTCATCAATATTCCTGAAAATTGTTAAGATCATCAATAATAAGGAGTTTAAGAAATTGTCACAGCCAAGAGGAGCCTAAGAAAACATGACAATGAAATAGTGTCCTACACAGGATCGTGGAAGAGAGAAAGGATATTAGGTAAAAACTAAGGAAATCTGAGTAACAGGATGGAATGTGGTTTACTATAAACCATGAAATAATGATTTGGTTCTTTAATTGTGCCAAACGTACCATACTCAAGTATGATGTTAATCACAGAGGAGACAGTCTAGGGCATGTGGGAACTCTACACTATCTGTGCTACTTCCCTGTAAACCTATGGCTATTCTACAATTAAGTTTTTTTTTTTTAAAGGAACAAAGCACTGATACCTGCTACAATACACATGAATCTTGAAAGCATTAAAGCTAAGTGAAAGAAGCCACTTGGTATGTGAATATCTCAATGAAGCTATTATAAACACACACACATTCTCACACAATGAGATACTACATACCTATGGCAAGAATGCACAGCCATTTTAGAATGGCTAAAATTAAACCACCAAGTGTTGTCAAAGACTGGACCTGTTGGTGAGAATACAAAATGGCACAACTACTCTGGAAAAGTTTAGAATTTTTAAAAAAACATTAAATATATATACATGATCCAGTTATTCCACCCCTGTGTAGTTATCTGAAAGAAGTAAGTATCTCAGGAAGAAAAACCTTCTCCTTTATTGACTTAGATTCAGTAACTGAGGGCCTATGAATTCAACTGACAATGCACAGAATGAACAGCAGAAAAAAACAAAACTTTTTCATATGCATATGGAAATGCACAAAAGCAGTACTCTAAACAGCAAAATAAGGAAGTTTACAAACCCAACTAACTGGGGAAAAAGGGTAAGGGAGAAAGGCTTCTATGGGAAAATAAATGGGTTTCAAGGGGAACAGAAGACAAATTTTGCAGTAATATTTGTTTGCACAGATGAGAGTGGTTGTCTCCATCTTTCTTTTTCAGGCCAGAAAATTCCTTGAGAGAGGGGATTTTTAGCAGCCTCATTCCCAGAAGTTTCTGCCTTTAAATTATGGAATTTCTGATTAGGCTTCTTTCTGCATCTGTTGAATCTCAAATCTCCTTAGTTTAAAATAATCTTCATACCATCTCGGGGGGTTACAAGTAGATACTCACAAAAGCAAACATCCATATAGACCCTACACATAAATGCTCATCACACCTTTATTTTTAGTAGTCAAAAACTGGAAACAACCCAAATGTTCGCCAACAGGTAAACAAGTAACTTGTGGTATATCCACGCAACAAATCACTACTCAGCTATCAAAGGGAATGAGCTGTTGACTCACACATCACAGGTAAATCTTAATGGTTTCACATGTGTATATGTATGTCAAAGCTTATCAAAATGTGCACTTTAAAGATGTGTTTATGTCAGTCATACCTCAATAAAGCTTTTTTTTAGAAAGACCTAATAATTCGAAGACAAGTTGTTATAAATCAGTACAAAAGTGAGAATTACTCCCAATGTTTAATGTGTGAAAAGGCTCCAGGTTTAAGTGAGAAAAACAAAAGCAGAAAATTACATGCAATATATTCAGTACTGTTTTTTTTTTAATTACCAGACTACACAGATGGGAAAAAAAAATTGGATAAATCTTTAATCAACACATTGTAACTGTTTGCCCAAAAAGTGTGAAGACTATCAGACATATACAGTTAGAGAAAAGAAGCCATGAATAGAACTGACAGTCAAAAATAAATGATCAGGCTGAGTGTGGTAGTCATGCTCATAATACCAGCACTTTGGGAGACCAAGTCAGGAGGATCCCTGGAGGTCAAGAGTTCAAGACTAGCCTGGGCAACACAGCAAAATCCCTTCTGTACCCCCCCAAAAACAAAAACAAAAACAGCTGGGCATGGTGGTATGCATCTATAGTCCCAGCTACTTGAGAGACTAAGGCAAGAAGATCACTTGAGCCCGGGAGGTTGAGGCTGCAGTGAGCCGTGATTGAGCCAGTATACTCCAGCCTGGAGACAGAGTAAGACTCCGTCTCTAAAATACACACACACACGCACGCTCTCTTCCTTTGACTATTGGCCAAAAGATAGGCAAATATGCCAAGTGAAATAATAATGCTAGTTTCTGCAGACAAAATTGGCTAAGATTTTGAATTATTTTAGCATGAAGTATGCTGGGAAGGATATGAATAAACTATGTCATGTCTATTATTGGTGAAAAGTATAAAGAAGCATAGAATTTCTATAAAAGTTTTGTTAATATCAAATGGCTTAAAAATTCACTCTGATCTGCTAACTCAATTTCTGTGTATACCTGCTTAGAAGTATGAAAGGTAATACACCAAGACACTTTTGAACTTTAGTTTTCAAATTGTAGTCAATGAACCTGTTTAATGGGAAAGAAGTACATTTAAGTCATTCTTTAACTGAGGCTTAAAAAATTAACTTGAAACCAAAATACCAACTAAACAATCATAGACCTGTCCCTTGACTGACCAGGACATGAAGAATACAGATGAAGCCACTGAGCTACTGGCAAGCAAAGAGTGCCACTAGTTGGGGGTAAACCACCACAGCTCTGTTGGGAGTAGCTGGTGGGAAGATTCAGATAACAGGGCAACCCCATTCTAGGACCTCCCACTCCTGCACATAAATGAAATCCCTCAAATGCCAGCTTGAATTAAATACAAAACCTATAACAGCACAAATATCTTTACTCCTTTTCCTCCCTCTTCATGGGCTATGTGTAGGCAGCACAGGAATGCCAAAGCCACAACTGTATAGCACAAAACTTTCATTTTTGAAAAGGCAGCTAAAAACTTCACAGCTGTTTCTGTCAATTTAGATCTGTTGCTTTTTTTTTTCTTCCTCGCTCTGTCACCGAGGCTGGAGTGCAGTCGTACAATCTTGGCTCACTGCAACGTCCGCCTCCAGGGTTCAAGCAATTCTCTTGCCTCAGTCTCCCAAGTAGCTGAGATCACAGGTGTGTACCACCGTGCCCAGGTAATTTTTTCTATTTTTAGTAGAGATTGGAGTTTCACCATGTTAGCCGGGCTAGTCTTGAACTCCTAGCCTCAAGTCATCTGCCCACTTCAGCCTCCTGAAGTGCTGGGTGGGATTACAGGCATGAGCCACCATACCCGGCACTTTTTTTTTTTGAGACAGTCTCACTCTGTCACCCAGGCTGGAGTGCAGTAGCACACTCGCAGCTCACTGCAACCTCTACTTCTCAGGTTCAAGCTATTTTTGTGCCTCAGCCTCCTAAATAGCTGGGATTACAGGCGTGTGCCACCACACCCGGCTAATTTTTATATTTTTAGTACAAGTGGTGTTCAGCCATGTTGGCCAGGCTGGTCTCAAACCCCTTACCTCAAGTGATCCACCCACCTTGGCTTC